AAATGGAAGGTATTCGCTCTCTATTACCCATTTTTCTAGCGTGAGGAACGCTTCCTGGGCTGTTTTGGGCACCTGCGGGCTCCTGTAGAACAAAACTTTTGTTTCACCTGTTTATTCCCAATACAATTTTTTTTTAAAAACCAATAATGATTACTAAGAAATGTTTACTAGAGCTTAAAATTATTGTAACCTATAGAGGAATGTTGTACACAAACACATAAATAGAAGTTCACAAACTAAACCTCCTACCGTCATGTACCGTTCCCCACCCCGTACCACCGTCAAGGATTTCGTCGGGATAATAACACTGTGTGACTGATAAAGTTACAGATCTAATGATGCACAAAAAATATGCATACTTAGAATTTTGAATACCCCCTCACAATGTGGACTTAAGGTATAAAAACTCGTTTTTCGTACATTGAGCCTTATAATTGTTCGTAATTAATGGCCCCTATTATGAGTTGCATTCGATCTTCGACTGTGGTCGAAAGTGCTGATCGAACGAATTTTCATTTGGTATTATGGCACTCATTCGGTGAAGAATAGCACTATTGTGAATTTCGCTCGTTTAGGTTGTTCACAATAGTACATTTTTCACCGCTAAGAAGGTTTGTTTACAAATCGAGCAAACTAAATAGTGGGCTTATACATATTTATGTAAATTTGTGCAAATAAAAACGAAATAAAAAAGAAAGCGAGTTTATAAAAACGTGGTAAAAATGAGTACAGCGGAGTTCTGGTTGAACCATTCGTCAGAGGATGGGAGCTTAGAAAACTGGAGCAGAAAAAGTTTAAGAGAGTTTAAGTGTAGTCTTTCGAATATATTTTGACATATAATACATTTAAGAAATTTTGTGATCCAAATCTATTTAAAATATATTAAAACTATAAAGAGCTCTATGATTTTGTTCTCAGAGATCGTGCCAACAGAGTATTAGGATTTTCTTTCACATGTAAAACCGTCCTTTCGAGCTTGTATTTAGTATTCAAAATCATAAATTTTTCACACTTTTCTAATACTTTGCTACACCAACGAAAGCAAAATTCTGTTCGACAGAAAATTCAACGAAAATTTCGACACGCTTGCATAGCTCATAATACAAATTTCCCTTTCGATCTTTCGCTGGCTATGGAAGATCGAAAATCGAATGCAACACATAATAAGGGCCAATATCTTTTTATCCGATGAAAAATATATAGTGCGTACACGGTAACCGCAACGCTCAACACGTGCAATTCCTTGAGTTGCAAGTCTCTAAAACAAACCATTGTAACCTTTATAAGTGCAACTTCAAAACAAAATAACCTCAATACCTACAAACTTTCTTTGTTTATGCATGCCTCGCATACATAATTTGAACTTTTTGCATTTCTTTGATTAACCAGTATTCTGGAAAAACTACAAATTGGTGTTTCAGTTAAAGTGATGTGTCATGAGCAGGACCGAAGGAAATAAGCAGGAATAAGCAAATTTAAGCGCTTAGATGTATATACGCAAACGTCAAAGCAGTGAAGCTGTGTTTTTCTGTGATCTGTTTAAATTTTGTGTTTTATAAAGCTGTTACGCTGTTTACTAGGTCTACTTCTAAAAATAGTCAAACCTTTGATTTAACAGTGCCATCAACATCTCAAGCTGCACTGTCTAACTTAGTTCCTCCGAATAATTCGGAGCCCCGCACATCAGACATCATTACCAAAAAGTTGGTTGTAATTCCTCCGAGAAGATCAATCTTTGTCTCTAGATTTGCTAAAGATACTTCTTCGGATGATATAAAGTCATACATATCGACTAAAATTAGAACTAAAGATGTATTTATTCGTAAATTTAATTTTAAATACGATCGCGATATTTCNATCTTCGGATGATATAAATTCATATCGACTAAAATTAGAACTAAAGATGTATTTATTCGTAAATTTAATTTTAAATACGATCGCGATATTTCATCTTTTAAAATTGATGTAGCTTCCGAAGATTTTGATTCACTACTAAATAGTTCATTTTGGCCGACCGGGGCGTTTGTTCGCGAGTTTGAGTATAAACCTAATAAAAGTAATAATAACGTAGCTAAAATTTCTAATCTTAATTC